TCTGGTGGCACCTTAAAGACTAACAGATTTATTTGGGCATAAGCTTCGGATGCATCCAAAGAAGTGAGGTTTTTACTCACGAAAGCTTATGCCCAAATAAATCTGTTAGTCTTTAAGGTGCCACCAGACTCCTTGTTGTTTTTGTAGATACAGACTAACACGGCTACCCCCTGATACTTTTAAAAAAAGGGATTTTGAAGCAATTCTTGTTTTGGAAAATGAGTTCTTCGGGCACCCTCTTCACCATCAGTCTGACATGATGTGGTGAGAGAAAAGGCAGCTAGCAGCATGCTCTCCCACGCCCACTGGGGACAGGGAATCTATTATAGGATTCATGCTAGCCCAAACAATGCTGCACTCACCCTAGACTAGGGCCTATATTTTTAAAGGTATTTAGGTGTTGCTGTGTTCATCACTGCAATGCCTAATGATTTAGAAGCTTGAGTCTCATTTTCAAAAGAGATTTAGGCACTTACAAGCCTAAATCCTATTCAATCACTTTTAAAAATGAGACTTGAGCTTCTATATCAGTTAGGTGTTGCAACACTGAGTGCAGCAACCTTTAAATAGCTTTAAAAATCTGGGCCCAGGAAAAAAATTGTATCACTGCAAGAATGTTAGTTTCAAGTGGAGACCTCTTGGCCCAACAGTTAACAGTCTGTGCTTGTGAGCTAATGGGGTGGTTCTCAGGTTTTGGGATGGTGCAAAATTGGGTTGGGCAGCTTAAAAATCATGCTCTAGCTTAGGTCCATAGTTAGCTACTGCATACGTTGTTCTAACACTGCACAGCCTCATACACAAAGGCTAGATGAACTCTGTTAGAACGTTAAAGCATTCTTTTTAAGCATGGTTTCTAATTGTGGTCATTTAGATAGTGGAGATGGCTCTTACTGTAACTGTAGTAGGCTATAACTCAAGGGTGGGCAAACTACGGCCTGTGGGCTGGATCCGGCCTGCAGGATCGACACCCCCATGGAGCCACAGGGCTAAGGCAGGCTTCCTGCCTGCCCTGGCTCTGCGCCACTCCCGGAAGCAGCAGGCACTGCCCCTTCCCCCTCACCCCCCGCAGCTGGGAACGGAGAACTGTGGCCAATGGGAGCTTTGGGGGAGATACCTGCAGGCGAGGGCAGCGCATGAAACCCTCTGCCCCCCCCGCCCCAGGGGCCGCAGGGACATGGTGCTGGCAGCTTCTGGGAGTGGTGCAGGACCAGGGTAGGCAGGGAGCCTGCCTTAGCCCCGCTGTGTGCGCTGCCACCCCGGAGCTGCTAAGGTAAGTGGTGCCGGGCCGGAGCCCGCACCCCAATCGCCTGCCCTGAGCCCCCTGCTGCACCCCAACCCCCTGCCACACCCCGCACCCTTCCTGCATCCCAATCCCCCTGCCCTGAGCCCCCTCCCGCACTCTGCACCCCTTCCTGCACACTGCACCTCCTCCCACACGCTGACTCCCTCCCGCACCCCAACCCCCTGCCCCAGCCCTACAATCACGGCCCTGCATGCAATTTCCCCACCCAGATGTGGCCTTCTGGCCAAAAAGTTTGCCCACCCCTGCTGTAACTGTTTGAAAATTGTTTCAAGCTCAAGATGAGTGAATCTGTATCTACCCTCCAATGTTACAGCTGTAAAGTGCTCTGGGCTGTGTGCTGTTGGGATGCTTGAATCCAGTGCTGTATTTCAGTAACAGTGTTCCAGGGTATAGCCATTGGATGCCAGGCACTAGCCATTTCCAGTGGGCAGCTTACTCAACTACTTGAATAGTACATGTACATCACTTAAAATGCTCCACAAGAGGCAATTACAAAAATCCCCCATGAACCAGAGAGAAAAATGGAGCTCAGGCATTCATCAGCACTGATTGAATGGTTTTTCTTTTTAATAGAAATTAAATTACTTGCTTAATATACATAATGTAATGTTTACTTTCCAGTCTAGTAGCTTTTCAATATTTGCTTTCAAATCACATGGCAAACACTATACAAAAATTATAATAAAGAGAGAAAATGAGGGGTGAACACAGTCTGTGTTTGAAACGCTAGAACCAGAAAGGGTTAGGTTTATCTAGAGCTAACACATACCAAAGGATACATATCACGGAGACCCATTCCAGTATAACCATGCATTACCAGGGAGTGCTCTAAAGTCAGCTACATACAACTGGTTTCTAATGGAGCAGGAAGACGGCACCCTAACGTACACAGAGGGCTGCTCTATCGGGTACCATAGCCATAGTAGAAAGATTCATCGGGACGGTATCCATACGCAGTCGCAGGACGGCCAGGAATACCAGCTGGCTGACCAAATCCATCCACTCCAATGCTGGGGGGGTGAAAAAAAAAAGAGAAACTGGTGTTGATGCTTGTGTTTCACATACAGGAAGTGTGCTTTAGGGCTGGGGCTCTCAAACTTTTTCCATAGTGTAGACCACATTAAGAGGTACTATCTTGAGCACCACCCCTCTTTGGACTCGAGATTCTCCCAGTCATGATGAGGTAATATCTCTGTAGAGATTAAGGCAGCTCCTGAAAAGGAAAAGTAACGCTAGGAAAGTATTTGATGGATTGCTGGAATCTTTTAATAAAATGTTACCAGTTGGGAACAGAAGAGCCTGTATCACGTGACTAGCCAACATTCTGTGGACTACACTTTTGGAACTTCTGGTCTAGTGGGCAGTGCAAGGGACTGGGTAATGGGATTCCTAGATCCTGCTATACTATTAATTCAGTAGCAAGTCACTTCACTATGACTCAATTTCCTCGTCTATAAAATGAGGATAATACCTCCCTGTCTGAAAGGATTTAAATATATTGTTATAATCCAACATTGTTAGAAAACTGCTATTGATGCAAAGTCCTCTGCTAACTGTATACAACAAACCAAATAATCAAATTATCTTCTGACCAATGGAGAGAAACCCCAAAGTTACTGGGGAAATACCAACTGGAAATATGGCACTGATTATATACTAGGTCAGAAATTCATACCATGGTTTCTGGAGTGATAAGACTGACATCCAAAGGGCAGATAGAGGGCTTTAGTACATGATAAAGCCTATGTTCTATCCGAACAATGTTAATTTGGTCAATTTTCACCCTCTAGCTGTCCCAAAGCAGTGAGTTAGATACAAAGGTAACAAATATTCCACATTCTGAGGTAGGAGATAGAGGCAGAGGAAAAAAGTGAATGTTGGCCAGGACACTGGATTATTGCACACTCTTTGGTATTATGCCATCTTTTACACTTGCACCAGAATAGACAGAGATGGACAAAAAGGACCTCAGTGTAGTGTCTGATTAGAACCGTGGGGGGGAAGGAGCTGAACTTCTCACACAAATACATTAAAGGGCTAGTGGCCACCAGTGCTTAAGAGTGGGGAAGAAATGCATTTTATTACTGCTGCCATTATCCTACACATACTGAACACAGTTGTTGTAGACCACAACAGCATGAACCTGTAATAGAATGGGATACCCAGGACACACAGACTGGTAACATCACATGCCCTAATTCAGCAAAGCACTTAAACACCTTTAACTTCAAGCCCATGCTTGAGCTAAACTGGCGTCATGATCAACAGAGCACTGAGAAGACCATGTTCCAGCACTTTATCTCCAGAGACTGCTTCCAGCAACATGAAACTGTGCAGGACCTAGAGACAAACATGAGGAGTTTGGTGCTTGACCAGTCAGGAAACCAGTGTACCTATAGGATGCTACAATGATAATCCAGAGAAAGGAGGATTTAAGAGTGCCAGACCCGCTTCCCCAGGGACAGAGAATGGCCAATAAGCCAAACTGCAAAGGAGATGATTCCTCTTGAGATAAGCCACCCGAGAGGTTACTGCCAGATATACACCTAAAGGCTTTGTTAGTATGTCTATACTGGTATACTACGCTGGTAAAGCCCTCCTAGTGTGGATGCACTTTATCCCAGCTCCCCTAATCAAAATAAATTATACCGGCAATTTTGCCAGTATAACCACGTCTACACTAGTGGCTTCTGCCAGCACAACTGTATCAGTCTGGGATCACACCTCTCCATGTTTCTGACAGACAGCTATGCCAGCATGAGTTTGTATTGTAGACCTGGCCTACTAGTGCTCTGCCCCAAATCAGGATGCAGTGGTTCTGAGAGGAGCTGTTTGTGTCTCCCTGAACCAGGCGTGCTATTGTCACACTTCATTAATTCACCAAGGCCCTGGGGAAGGCCTGTAGTGCCATGCTGAACAAATTCCTCAGCAGGGCTAGGAGTCAAATAACACTGGTACACGCGTACACACTCTAGTGTCCTGTCTGCTTAGGGTGGGGGCGAGCTAACGAGCATGCTCTGCGGCCTGCACTGGCTCCCCCTTCCTTACTGGAACCACTCCAAAGTTCTGGTATTCTTTTACAAAGCCCTTGGGGAACGGGCATTAGATCTTCAAGACTGCCTCACTTTCCAGGTCTCTCTGCAGCAGCTGCGGTCATCCAGCAGACTACCAGGGAGCACTAGGTATGGCCTTCTCAACAGCAGGTTTGAGCCAAATGAGGGTCAGACCCTCACCATTTCCAGATACACCTCTTCTCCAGTCCCCAAAGAATCAAAGACAATCAAACACTGCACTCAAAATTAACAACTCATGATTACAGTCAACATAGGCCAGAGAATGGATTTCCCTTCCAGCCTCTCCCTCCTTTCCCCAGCATATAGCACCTTGATCCTACTGTGACAGGCCCTTGGGAAAGAGCAGATAGATTAGACGGAGGGCTCTTCTCAAGCCTAATTTTCTGTGTACAGGTCATAGAGTGACTGAAAATAATAGACTGACTAGTCTATTTTCAAGAGGAAAATGTAAATAAACTGGGGAAATGGTGAAAAGTAAAGTAGGTTTTCAGCTTTCAATTATGATAATCTCAGGAGTTACTAACATACTGTAGGTAAGGGAAAATGTGTCTGAATACGCCTGATTCTCCATCCGTTACGATAATGTAAATCCATGGATGTCAGTGGCATTACACAAGTGTAAAACTGGGGTGATAGGGTAGAATCAAGTCCATACTTTTTGTTAACCAGTGTCCCTTTAAATCAGAACTTCAGTTCAGGAATACTTTTTTTTTCCTTTCCTTTCACAAATTCTCAAAATATTGGCTTGTCCAGTTCAGGTTCTAGAGTCAAATAATTTATAATTTAAAAAAATAACTTTTTATATTTTGCAGTGTTGGTCCCAGGATATTAGAGAGATAAGGTGGGTGAAGGCTCAAAAGGTTCTCTCTTTCACCAGCTGAAGTTGGTCCAATAAAAGATATTCCCTCACCCATCTTGTCTCTCTAATTTGTTATAGGAAACTCAGTTCTTCATTTTATTTATTTTTTACAGGGGTGTTTTGTCTGTGATTGATGTAACATCAGTTTTGGGTAATTTACTATTTATTATTGTGGTAACAACTAAAGCCCCATCACATTTGTGATGGTGACTCACATTCCTGAAAATTTTCGGCTGAGAAGACACTATATATATGGCAGGGGGACCACACTATGGCCAGCTGAAGGCTGAAACCCAAAGACCACACCTGTTTTGCATAAAACAGAATCAGGTGCAGCCCCTTTCAACTTTAATGTGGTGAAATGGGGAGAGGAGACTGCAGGCCCCAAATGGCTACTTAGTTCAAGACAAAACTCAGCATCCTCAGACTCAGATTGCCTATGGGCAGATTATCTTAATTAAATACAAAAGTGGCTACACCTAGCATTGCAGAAATGTGGGGGTTTCTTCTGGCCTTTGTCCGCCCTAATATAGTATAGGATACCAAAAAAAGGTGTGGAATACTGTGCTGGCCACAAGTACTATTAACCACTAGATGGCACTCTCTCCTCATTACAGAATATTGCCAAGTACTTCCAACTATTTCCAGTTTAGTAATCCTTATTTAAACAACTTCTAAATGTATCTAAATGGATAAAAAGCTAGGCAAAAAAACATGGTTTCAATTACATTCTCAGCAAATCAATTCCCCCCCCCCTTTTGTAAATGTGTAAGTAATTAGGTACAGGTCCCTACAGGTTAAACTTTGAGCAGCATCAGTTATTTCCAAATGGTTCCGACATATGGTAGTGTCCTGAAGAAAAATGCAAGAGATGGATCAGCTGATAACTACTTCAGACATTGCATTAAAAAAAAAAAGAGAGAGAACAAAAAATTATATTAAACTCACCACCCTCCAGAAAATGGTGCATTATCTAAATATTTCCCTCAGGTAAATGAATCCTTGTCTATGCCTCAGAAAATATTGGTTTTGCTTTCAAGTGAGTTTAGTGCTCTTGAAAATTCCCAGCCTACCCTCTTGGATGATTGGGATTGGTGGGCAAAGTCCACCTGAATGAAAGCCTCCCTGTCCCTCCATCCCCTCAGCTGAGGGAGGGGCCACAGAACCCAGAAAATGGAGTACCAGGGACAAAAAGTGAACAATCAGGGGGCGGGGATGGCTTGCCAGCACTGCAGACTGATGTTCTGGTGGCACCCAGAGCAGTTAGACCAAGAGTAATGACAGCATAAGCATGCCCCATGCCTGCATTCTGCCGCAATCTTGACCTGGAAAGGCCACCTTGATGGTGGAGAAAGGAGTTTAGTATCTATGTCCCACGGAGTCTTTCCACACCTCTGCCAAGGATGGAGCCAGTTGTGATGGTGGGGTTTAAGATGTCCATTAGTGACCGGACTGAGATAACTTGCTTCGTGGGTTCTTATTTCTACCTTAGACCATAGATCATCCCACGCTTTGCTGCACATTGGGCTACCCACATTTGCCATCCGTGCCTGTCAACTGCCTTTCTCTCCAAATCTTCCCATTTCATGTTGAGATGCTTGATGTGGTTCAGAACTGTTTGTTTCTATGTTATTCGCGGTCTTCCTCTCTTTCTTCTTTTGTTTTCTGGCTTCCCTTCAACGGTGGTATTTCGTAAGCGTTCTTTTTCCAGCACATGTCCCAGTCACTGATATCTTCTTCTGTAGATTATTTGTTAGAGGGTGCCTTGTCCAGTAATTTTTCTGACTTCTTCATTCGTTTTCTTATCTCTATGTGTTATTCCCCACTATTCTTCTCAGACATTTGTAATGAAATGCATCCAGCTTTTGCGTATCTTTCTTGGTAAGTTGCTCTAGGTTGTGATGGCGATAACAATTGCTTTTATTTCTACACTAGCAATCAAATTCAAACTTACTCTTAACTAAAGAACTGGGGTTAGTATTATTGATACATCACCTAAAGGGGTGCTGGGCACTATACTGACTCCTGTTCTGAAAAGGCAGTGACATATCTTAATGAAATCAAGCAAGTAACCCCAATCCTCCACCTCCTCATCCCCCTAAAAAAAAAAATCCATCATTTTCACTTCCCATTACACAGTTCAAATTGATACCTAATGGGAGCTCATTCATACCACATACAGTTATCTAATAGAAACCGATTGCACAGCATTGTAGTGAGTCTGGAGCAAGTGAGTTTCTGAAATTGCTCTAATCTGTAAACTGTTAAGGCATCTCTCTCTTAAAAATTCTTTTACTTGATGGTAGACGTTAGTGACTGTGCTCACCATACAGCAAAAGCACCACTGGTTTCTCACGGATGGTTTACCAACATGTCTGGGACTCATGGAGTTAAACAGGGAACACATCTAATTATAATGTAATGCTAACCTCAGCTGCTGGTTCATTTTGAGACCCTTTAAAATATGAACTGTGTATTTTACCCCTATGCACTCTCTTAATGATTTGTTTTCTTTAGACTGAAATCACTTCCAGCCATCAGTTATACTCGCAGTCTCTACACATGCACTTCTCCAAGCACAAATATTTCTTTTTCCTATTGGTCTGCCAACCCCTGTCAGAGCAAATTTCACTTTAAACTAAATGCAATGATACTTAAAACCTCTTGGATTACTCAGGCTGTTGGCATGATCTATGACCTTCCCAGAATGACAGCTGAACTTTCTAATTTGCTTGTACGGCTGGGGAACCGAAGAACACATGCCAAGGGGGAAAGTGCTCCTAATGTGCATGAGTGAAGAGAGATTTCTTAACAGCTTTATTTATTGATATTTACCTTGATTCATAATGTACAAAAATAATGTGCCTGTCCTGGGTCCATGGTGCCTAGGAGACATTTTAAAATACAATCAAACAAAACTAGCAATGTCACCCTTATCCAAGCCAGGAAATGCCAAGCAGTATTTCCCTTCCCCACATATACCTGCTCTCATTGTACCTGTCCCTCGCTCAAAGCCTGAGAGAACAGACAGGCTTTGTAGTAGACCTGGAAGATTGGGCTGTTTCAGACCAAGGGATGAAGGGGGAACACCCTGTGCCAACGCTCTGACGGTATTCCAGTTCACGGGCCCGCACTGGCTGTAACTCTATGGTGCAGGCAGAGAACAGGGCTCTCTAGGTTCTTCCACATTAGGAAAATTAGTACCCGTATTACAAAAATGGCCAGCGATGGTGCACAACTGCTCGCTGTAGATTTTCATGACAGTGGTAAAGACACCTCAGCCCCGTTCTGAGCACTGGTGCTGACAGTTGCAGTAATATGGGTGCTAATTCCTCAGGTGTAGGCAAGCCTTCAGAAAGGCAGCTCCCAGGGCATTTGGGACTTTATGGGTCAAAAGTAACACTTTGAAATCTATCTGGAAATCCACAGGTAGCCAGAACAGAACCCAGAGCACCGGCATTGTGCGCTCCCAGCAGGAAATACTGCTGAGGATGGAGGCAGCCTCACTATACACCAGCTTCAGTCTCATACTGTATTTAAAGATACCGTATAGCCCCATGCAGAGTGCACTGCAATAATCAAACTGTGAGGTGACACAGGCATGGATGAGGGAAGCCAGGTCCACATCTGAAAGAAGAGGTTGCAACCTCCTGATGAAGTGGAGATGGACATAGGCCTTCTGGTGACTGCTGATACATGACCCCACAGCAGGTGGGGAAATTGTATTTCAGAACTTGAATATGGATTTAAGAGACTTAAATATGATTTTTTTGGGTCTCTGTTTCATGTTTGGCACCCAAAAATGCAGGGACAAAAAAGAATTGGCCACTGAAAACAGGAGGTCAAGATCACATACAGTGTTAGTGTCAGAGCCAGGATTAGAAGCCAGGTGTCTTCAAATCCTAGTCCTACTCTGAAGACCAGCCAACCCTCACTACCTACATATTTTGCATGAATCAGATTGATGCAAGACCCACTTGTAATTTTAAGAGGCACTAAACTAGTCAATGGGAACACATTTTAAAAAGATCTCCATTTAGTACAAGTGCAAATGTTTATCCCTACACGCAAGGTGGGGCCTTGATCCAGCAAAGCACTTATGTATGTGCAGAACTTTTCACTCATGATAGCTCCACGGACTTCTGTGGGACTACTCAGATGCTTAAAGCTACTCATGTGCTTAGGTGCTTTGCTCAACTGAAGTTCACTTGCATGCATAACTATGCAACACATATGTACGCACATGGGATCTGATCTTGCTCCCACGGACTTATAACTGTGATCTGGCAAAACTTCCATAGACGTCAATGGAATGAGGATTAGGTCCATGTTTTTGGGTGTGCAGGATCCTTTGAAAACTTGGCCTCAGTGCTGCCCACAGACATAGAGCTCCCTCTTTGAGAATCATTTGCATACCTTATGATGATGAATATTTTAAGAATACAGTTTAAAATGTGCAAGGTTCCCTCTCCCCCCCAAAGCCACACAACTGGTATTCACAATAATCTTATCCTCAGAGTCCTATCATTTCACTTCTGAAAGAGACTCTATTAGTCAGTGACAGTATTGTTGATAACATATGGTACTGTTACAGTTCTAGCCTTCCTGCTGTAAAATCCTATGCCATAAAACTTTGGAATGCATAAACTGTATCAGGTTCCTGTGTATAACAGAGGATGAATTATGTTCAATACATGGTAGAAGACTGTATTTTTCCCTCATGGGGTACCCAAACCATGAAAATGAAACACCACTCACCATAACTTTGAGACATAAGCCCAGCATTATAATACATAAATAATACATAATAAATCTAAATTGTATCATACTTGAGTGCCAACAAGAGACAGGACTTGATAGTGTTTAAGTCTTTATTTTCTCTCCTCTCTTGGTAGCTCTCATTTTTAAGTGTTGATGGAAAGTACTAGATTGAAAGCCCAAGAGCCTTTATCTGCAGGTAAGAGACTACAAGTTTCTCAGTGTGCTCCCCCCCGCACACACACAATGACCACCTGTAGAGTTGGGATGATCAATCAGTAGCCTGAAGCCATTAGTTCCCTGGACTTTCTGCTGAGACTGCCAATCAAGTGCCAGCTAGGATGATCGTTTTGTGATGGACCCCTGTCTACTAAGTAATGGATCGAGGCCACTATGCTAATATCACACAGGTCACTTAGCATTCAGATGGTAGCTACTCATGGTTCCTTGGACTTTGGTAAGCAAAGAGACGAAAGATTCCATAGACCCACTATATAATAGTCTGATGCAGCTACTTCTCTGTTTCTCCTTAATTGTCCACTAATTTGTTCTGCCCTTCAGCTTATGACAGCAAATCCTGGGAGACAGATTAGAATTTTTTTAAAAAGTCAGAGGTTTTTATATGTAATAACATATCCTGTAACTATAGTCATGACCTGTAATGATATGATCATTGCATGATAAATCACAAATATTTTAAATTCTGTATCTCATGGCCCCACCTTCCTTCTTCCCCTTCTGTTTATCTTTCCCATACTTTGTCTCTCTCAAACTCATCTTGGATGGAAGCTTTGGGGCAGGAACTATGCAGTTATTGCTACATAAAGTACCATGCATATCTGCATACTATTAAATATTAATTACACAAAGAATTATATTAACATTAACATTGCAAAGTCAAGCACTCAAAAATTAGGAAATGCCAGAATTCAGGTTTTCTGTGCTCCCTTGTGCATATGCTTTTTGATATAGTCTCTAATTAATCACTAGACCCACTAAATTGACCCCCGCTGCATTGATCGCAGCAGCATCGATGCCTGGTAAGTCTAGACATGGCCTGACTTACAGCTGTAGCTGGGAGTGCTCAGCACTTCTGTAAATCAGATTAAGGGTCTCAAGTCAGGTGGCCAAAGTTTGGTGTAAGTGACTTGCCCTGCATCACACAGGAACTCTGTCAGAGGCAGGGATGGAATCTAATGCTCTAGGGTACCGTTCAACTGCTTTAACCATGAAACCATCCATTCTTTTTCTGCAGTCTCCTGCCTCATTCACTATAAACTTTCCAACTTCTGCAACAAATGAGTAAGGGCTCCTATAGACATCCTCCTTAACTACACAGCTTTGATTTCTCCTGAGCGAGCCAGGGGCCCTGAAGGAAAAAGTAGTATGTGATCATGTAATTAAAGACTGTACCATAATGCATATGCACAAGAAGTCTCAATTAAGGTTGCAGAGACCTTAATTCCAGCATGTTCTAATTTCTGAGTGCTTGATTTTGCAACTTTAATGTTCTTTTAATGTAGGCTGGTGGGTGGCTGTTTTTCCCCCTATGTATTATTTATTATTCAATTTAAAAAAAATTGAAAATACAAATTCCATCATGTGGCATCACAGCCTCCTTGCTTGCGGTTCAGGTGCCTTGACCTGCACCCGGAATGGCCTGCAGTAGCCCAGAGCTGCAACTGCATGGAAAGTCCTGTTCGGCTCTAGGCCGGAGCATGCAAAAAGTGGAAACTAGGTCAAATTACAAATAGGGCTGTCAAGCGATTAAAAAAAAGAATTGTGATTAATCGCACTATTAAACAATAATAGAATACCATTTATTTAAATGTTTTTGGATGGTTTCTACATTTTCAAATATATTGATTTCAATTACAACACAGAACACAAAGTGTACAGTGCTCACTTTATATTTATTTTTGATTACAAATATTTGCAATGTAAAAAACAAAAAATAATATTTTTCAATTCACTTAATACAGGTACTGTAGTGCAATCTCGATCATGAAAGTTGAACTTAGAAAAAGACGGTTACTCACCGTTGTAACTGTTGTTA